AAAATATTTTTTAGTAATCGGAGAAGAAAACATTTGTGATAGAAGTGATAGACTTTTTCAGCAGAAAATATGTAAGGGTGGTAGAGAAAGAAGACCAGAAAGGGTTGTGAAACTTAGTCCTAATTTTCTTTTTACCATGTGTTTCTATGAAAATATTGGGGGTGCAGTGTCCATATAGTGGTTCACTTAAAACACTCTAAAAGAAAAATGCCATTCTTTTTTGTTTTTTTCTGTATAAAACAATAGGCCATGAGACATAGTTTAAAGTCAGTTTAAAATATAGTCACATATCTTTTTTTTTTAATAATTGCAGTATGAGCCATTGTATGCATCTAATGTTATTAATGTCATATTAAAATCCCCTGGTTGGATTTTTGGGTTGTTTCTACCTTTATTTGGCTGGAACAAAACCCTAAAGGGTGGCATTGCCCGGTCAGTGTTCACATGTTTTGTGATTAAACATAAATGTGTTTAAACATAAACATTAATGTGATTAAACATAAATATTCATCTTTCATCTTCGGAGCTACAAAGACTCCGATGCCTGCTTTGTCCCCATTCCCTGGACCTCAGCGCAGCCTGAACAGCCAGTGCCACTTGGTACACCCGCTTCTCCCTGGGCCTCAGCCCACCTTCCTCTCACAGTTGCTGCAGCCCGACCCTTGGTTACCTAGTAGTTTTATCTGGTACATTTTATCTAGCATTCTGGCCTAATGATGATTGTTACCAGAATTACTTATTTCACTCTGGGGTTGTGAAATGGTGTTAACTAATTCTACCATTCAGTTCCCAATGGATTCTTTAAAATACTGTAACATAGAAGGAGGAAGACCTTACCAGAATCAGCAATTCAATACAGTAAAAATTTCAGGTCTAAAACAAAAAACAGCTGTGAGACAGCAAGATTCTTACTCTAGTAGTTCTCTATCATCTATTGCACATTGCAAAATAAGGAAATCTAATTCTATAATCTGACTTTTATGTAAAATTTCTACAAGACGAAGAATCAAGGCCATAAAAAGCACAAACAGAATAATTTATTAGGATCCATCTTTTTTCAAACAAAAATAGAAATAAGACTTCAGTGAGTCATTTCCTTCCGTGTTTTATGTCTTTCCAAAAATACCATTGGTGATTGACAGCCTAGGAGAAGGCACAGCCATGTTTTGTGACAACCATCATTATTCTGTGGTACAGATAGCAAGAAGGAAATTTGGGAGCAAAGTAAAAAAAATAAATATAGCAATCCTAACAGCAATGAGAGTTTCATAAAACAAATCCTGCTGGAAATTTTACAAATACAAAGTTGGTAGGTTTGTATTGGTAGGTTCAATGTAATAGTGTCCGTGTAGATGAAAGTGAAAGCATAGGTTGGAACTAACCGAGCCATTTACAGAAACTTGATACAAAGACAAATTGGAAAGTCCCAGCTTTTTCCTTCTCTCAGTCGGCAGGATAAAGACTCTCCACCAAGGGCGTTTTCCCAGCCGTGTTCCTGTTCCAGTAGCACAATGCATTCTGTGTGCGCTAGGAAACCTGCAGTTCAGTTTGTATAAATGACTTTTGTAATGAGCTAGATGGGCTTGATGTCTTCACTGATTCCGTATGAATGTACATTTCCACTGTTTTTCCTCAAAACCTTCCTTCAGCTTTTCACTCTAGTGTACTGCTTGCCCACGAATGTTCACCTGGCAAAGAGATGTTAAAATATGTGACATGACTTTATTCTATAGATTTATGATCATAAAGGTAGAAGAAACTTACATCTTTTTATTCCTTTCCATAGCTGAAAATAACATGAGTATTTTGAACTAGTTCAAAGTAAATTACATTTATAAACTAATAAACATAAAGAGTAAGCAATCGCTAAATTCTGTAGATAATTTCCTTTTGAAACTAAAGGTTTACTTTCTTGAATGTCCTGTTTTTAAATCCTAACAGCCAGTCTACAAACAGCATTTAAATAAATGCAGCCATGAGTTCAATGAACAAATAATTAGTCTGCGTACTTAGATATGAACATGGATCAACTTACCAATTTGTTAAACACCAGCCAATTAGGTAATAAACACATGTCGTTACAAAAACAACACTGCTAGAATAGCTAAAGAAAAAAGTCTTTTTGGCTGTCTTACCTGTCTTGGAAGCAACTGTCACATAGAGGTAAGAGAAAGCAGTGAATTAAGAATCTTCACCCAGAGCTGGCACATTCACTTTGGGAATGGGGGTGGGAGAGATTCACTAACCGTAAGTAATACTGCATTATTCATGAAGTTGATCTTTAAATTTAATTGGATCTAGAGCAGGAAACCACAGGCACTCAGGAGAGAGAAATGGTCTTGGTATGTTTAGGCCATGTTTATTCTACTGAGGAATATTTATTCTAAGAACCACTAGTCTTTAGTTAAAATAAGCAAATAGGAACCCACTAAAGTATGAAATCCTCGAAAGACTGAGTCTCGTTGAATAGCACATAGTTAATATCCTGGAAATGCTTGTGGATTGACTGCAAACAAAATAAGTGCAAAATAATTTGTAATGAAATAAAAAGAAAATACACTATTCATTTACTTTTAAAATTTAGAATAGGTAACATAAATCTGTATTCAAGGAAAATTGCACTGTACAACATATTGGCTCCCCCTGAGGATGGGTTGGAGGAAAGGCAGAGGAGGCAGATTTTAAGAGCTATCTGAGAGAAGGGAGACAGTTTTCCAGAGGGGGAGAAGGGAAGAGAAGGGCGGAATCAGACAGGAACAGCATCGAAGGACAGCGGTGACAGGAAGGGAGAGCGCCACTGGAAGACAAAGGCACCCGAAGGGAAGCCAGGACTCAGCAGAGAAGAACTTGGTGAGGAGAGAGAGGCCGCGGGGATGGGCAGGTCACTAGGGCCTGGCGTGTGCGTTGCTGTTCTTGGGCTGACTCTCCCTGGAAGGTGCCTGTCTTCAAAAGCAGCTTGGAATAGTCCTTTACATGCTTGAAAAGGGCATTTCTGCTTTACTTTCATTCTTTAAAGTTTGTTTCTGAAATAAAGGTTTATATTTCCAAAAAGTTGTAGAGCTATTGCTACTCTCTGACAGCATTCTAGTTTCAGAGGGTGATGGTTTTTAAATTTAGGGATCAATTTTTTTCCGCAAAACCTACTTAACCATTTTGTGTTCTGAACTTGCAGCTGTCATATTCCACAGTTTAAAATGAGCATTTACCCCCTGACTGGTGTGGGTGAGTGGGTTGGAGCATTGTCCTATTAACCAGAAGGTTAGGGGTTTGATTCCTGGTCAGGGCATGTGAGAAAAGGCAACCCATCAATGTTTATCATATTGATCTCTCTCTCTCTCTCAAATCAGTAAATATATTTAAAAAATAAAATGAGCATTTATTTCATTATGAGGAGACTTAAAAGATAAATCTCAAGTTTTCATTTGGTTTGCCTTCTAATTGAAAAAAAATTGGTATGTGGAATAAAGGACATATAGAAAAACAGATGAATTTAAATAGGACATAATGTTTAATTGGATATAATCTTGAAATTAGAAAGCAGACAGCTCTGGCTGGTATGGCTCAATTAGTTGGAGCATTGTCCCATAAACCCAAAGGTTGTAGGTTCAATTCCCAGTCAGAGCACATGCCTAGGTTGCAGGCTCTGCCCAGGGTCAGGGTGCATACAAGAGACCAGAGGGATGTTTCTCTCCCTCTCTCCCTCCCCTCTCCTCTCTCTTAAAATCAGTGAGCACATCTTCCATTGAGGATAAACAAAAAATTAGAAAGCAGACAGACACTCAAAAATTCTTCTATTCCTTATAGTCAACAAAGAAAAATATCCCTTAATGTTCTATTCTAGAAAGTAAAGAGGGTTAGGTATTATTTTAGAGAGTTTCAAATGATCATGGAATTCCACTGTGGTCTTTTAGTAGATTGAAATTATGCTTTAAAATAACTTTCTTTTGGAACTGAAAGTAGAAGCTAGAAAGCTTCAACAGGGTCTGCTCCTAAATTACCTGACGCCCTTCTCCCCAGGCTCCCCGGGGCGAGAGGGCCTGCACTTACCGGGTGCTGAGAGGCACTCTTGCCACTTACTCAGCCCTTCCCTGGTGGCGCTACCCCCCAGGACTCAGCCTCTGCCCTGTAAGTTGGTTTCCCAGGCAATTCCTCCATTGCCAGCAGTTATTTTTGGTATTTACCCAAAGGTGTGCCTGAATTATTTTGCTGGACTGGGTTTTTTTTTGCCAGAGGGGAAGTTCCTGTGTGTGGTTATTGGTGTTCTTTTCAAAGTCAATAAATGACACATAAAGAAATGATGGGAGATGATTTGTGGCAGTTATGCCTGCAGGCAGCTGAGGCCCAGAAAAAAGGGAAGTTCACTGCACTATATCAGAGGGTTCTAGGTTTAGATTCTCTGGGCTGGGAAGGTTGGCGACTCCTCAGTGGTAGTTCTGAGATTACCTGAACAAGTAGTCTCCTGACACTGACCTGAGCTAAGGTTTTATGCTCTCCGTGCAAGGCCAGTCCTCACTGTGCTTCTGTTCACTTGGGAGTAGATTGCTTTGAATCTGTAAGAGGTGTAACATTTGGCTGGTGATAGTGTTGAGCACATTTTGCAGGTTATTTTGTTGTTTTGTTTTCCCGGTCCTATGTGTAGCAACAGATCGTTAGCTCTAAAACAACCACAGCCACTGGAAAATCGTGAAGATAACCAAAGTGGCTTGTGTGCTGGTCTGAAGATGGCTTTGATGCCTGCCTAGCTGTGGATTCACTGTGGGGAAATGCTGGGTTCTAGAGCTCTCCATTTCATCCACTGGCCCAAATGCATGGCCCCCGAAGATACTTGTGTGTTTGCCTGTCTTGTTTCTTAAGATTATTCTCAGGTGGGGAACTATGTACAGAAGCTATGCTTTTCCATTTTAATGTTTTCCTTCTGAGCCTTACAGTAAATTCTGGGGAAAGTGGGGGGCTGCATGCCAAGCTCCTCCAAAGCAGCATCACTGAAGGCAAGTTCATACTTACTCTAGATGGTCTTGCTGTTGGGCAGGGATATGCTGAATAACTTCATAAATCGTGTGGTGCAAATCTTGCCCCAAGGCACCATCAGAGGCTGGAACAGACCTATTGGGCACCTAGGAAAGGTGGCACATTAGAAAAATTAGAAGACTAGTGAATAGTATTTCCACTATTCTGCACAGTTGAAAACAACTGGAAATAGTTGAGTGGAAAATTAAAACTGTTTCTCTTCTCTACAATGTTCATTTCCTCTTTGCTACAGTTCCTACACTTACCCTACAGTGTTTAGTGTAGCAGCATAGCTGCAAGGTCAGAAGGGGAATAGTTGACAAAGCAATCACTTTTTTGTTCCTTTGAGAAAAAAGTTGGCAGTACTGTAAAGGAAATAGTAGAGAAAGAAAAGATGGCAACAGAGAAGATATCAGGACAGTTTAGAATCAGAGAGCGTATGTTATTGTCTTTTATATTACATCTCAATTGCCTTTTTTCACCATTGCCAATTATGTGTGCAAGTATGGTGGGAGAGCAAGACAAAAGCCTCATCACACTGCCAGTTAGCAAAGACGGTACCAACACGTATGGAACCCAGAGAGGGAGATGTGTTGACTTGAATGTAGTAATGGGCTCTAAAAACTAAAGGCTTGGAAAAATGTGGAAAATATAGTTGTGTACTTGTGTGTGGTAAAAACCAACATGTATTTCACTGAAACTGGAATTCATGTTTTGTTAACTCTTATTCCTTGTATTTAGTAGTATTTTCTTCCCGTGAACATTGCCTTCTAATTATTTAGCTCAAGTTTGGTTCCCCTCCTTATTCCAAACTCCCATTTTCCTCCTATTTCTGATCACTTTCTATCCTATATGTAGCTCCACCAGGGGATGGCTTGCTAGGTTCTCCTGGGGCACCTTAGCTTCATGTTTTCCTGGGAGCTACCTGTTTTTACTCTGTCTGCTAAAGCTGTCGTGGGCAGCCCTAGGAGATGCGATTTGTCCTATTATTTTTGTGCCAGGGAGATTTTGGTTTACAGTTTGTACTTGAAATCAACTCTTGATATTCTTTGGTGCAGAGGTGTTCTGGGGCTATGATAAAAGCAATCTATAGATGATAACTAACTCACCTAACCTAATATTAGAGCTGTTAAGCAGTCGTAAGTTTGTTCACTTCATGCCCCTGCATTCTGTCCAACTTCTGAAAGAGGTGCTGGGTGGACAGCGACGTGTATAGCAAGTACAGGGAGGAGGGGTATCTCATCTGTACCACAACTATGTGGGAAACGATTCTGATTTTTAAAACCCCAAAAGTTCATAATTCAATTTATTTCCCTTTTTTACTTCAACTTTCAGATCTTGGTTTATTATTATTTCTCCTTTTCTTTGCCAAGCCAGTGCATTTGCTGCTGATCTTCACACATAATTGCCGTTCTGGCTCCTCCTGCACATGTTCCCGTCTGAATCCTTCTCATCCTCCTCTTGCAGTTGTTGGTGTTGATTTCTCATTTCTTCCCAAAGCGCCTGGCACCCGTGGAAAACCCCAGCTGATTTCTTAGGAGTTTTCAGCTTTGAAGATGGGCATAGCTCCAAATTAAATTATTCTACTTATGACAAAAATAAGCTGGGCTTTTGATATGTAATCAAAGTACTAATTTCTCTGCCTCATGTTCTTTTTTAAAAATTGTTTATGCTATTACAGTTGTCCCAATTTCCCTCCTTCACCCCAGCCCCTGGCCTCCCTTTCCACAGTCAATCCCCACACTGTTGTTCATGTCCACGGGTGATGCATACGCATTCTTTGTCTAATCCCTACACCTTCTTTCAACCAGTCCCAACCTCCCCCCACATACAGCTTTCAGTCTATTCCTTGTTTCTGTGCCTCTCATTCTATTTTGCTCATTAGTTCATGTTGTTCCTTAGATTCTAGTTACATGTCGGATCACATGGTATTTGTTTTTTACTGTGTAGCTTATTTCTCTTAGCATAATAGTCTCCAGTTCCATCCATGCTGTTGCAAAAGGTAGGAATTACTTCTTTTTTCTGCTGCACAGTATTCCATTGTGTAAATGTACCACAGCTTCTTTATCTACTCATCTACTGATGCTTGCCTCATGTTCTTGAACATTGTAGCACTTCCAGCAAATGAGGTCCTCCCAAATAAAGTCTTCAAACTGAGTACTGACTAATCACAAGGCTAAATGTAAAGTTTCTCATGTATATCTCAATCTTTTCTAATGAATTCCTAGGAATAAAAAACTGTGCCTGATTTAAAATAATCTCCTGACTTCAAAAATTCTATTCCAAGTCTTACCAGCTCTTCCCTTTTCTGCTCTCCCATTTATTTAAAAGCCACACCTGCGAGGGGTGCTTTCTGCCACAGTGGGGAGCTGGTGTTCAGAATAACAGATCCACCAAACATTTGTTTTTGTCTTTTTGGTTGCATGAGTGAAGGCTGAGCCAATCCTGTCCGAGAGGGACTAAGGCATTGCAAAGCGTTTGCAATGCAGTCCTGCCTTTCAACTCTGATGATGTGGGTGCTGGCACTACTGACTCACCTTTAGGAGGATGAAAGCCAAACAGTCCCCCTCCATTACTCATGTGGTGTGTTTGAAATAAAATCTATGGCCAGGACACTTACTGGATGAACCTTACATTGATGGCATTCTCTGAACAAGTAAGGTAACCATCCCTAACAAGAGATAGTTTTAAAACACCCAGAAGCAAGTAGGCTGTGTGTGGCCCCTTCCTTAAGGGAGCTATCACAGAGGAATATGGAAGCTGAGAAAAGATTGGTTTTACACAAATCCGAGCTGAATAGCTCAGAGAAACATTCTGCATGTCTACAAAAGATCCCGTCTTTGCAGACTGAAAAAAAAAAAAAAAACTTCAACCATGTTAAATCTCCCCTCTCACATCTCATGTACTTTTAGGATAAAAATAAAGATGCGTGCCTGCATAACTCTGAGTTTACATGGTACCTTTCTTCTGAAGAGCAGAAGGTACCCTCAGGGGTGCAGGTGTGATCAGTTGTCTTTGCAATGTCCTTGAGAGATGTGAGGGGGAAATGCAGGGGGAGTGAGGAACGGAGTTCAGTGGAGGGCTGCAGTCACTGAAGTGATGCGGACATTTAAACCAGCGTGTCCTCATTCCCTCTGTCTTCAGTTCCCCTGACCTTCTACTTGGTTCTCTCTTCACTGAGCTTACCAGGCAAAGCACGTTTATGGACTAGTATAACCTCCTTATTCATGTTAGCCTTATTTATGAAGTCTAAGCAAGATCCAGCAATGCCATTCAGAGTGAGTAAATGCTGCTGATGGTAATGCAGCCACTTGACCACACTGCCCATGTGCTTAAACGAGGGTCCCTTCCACCTCTGGTGAAGCAGAGTGCTACTTCTTCGCTAATCAGCCGCTGGGGAAACCGACCCTGGGAACACCAGAGGCATCCGGAAAAGCAACGAATTCGTATATTCCAAAGTCATCCAAAGCATCTTCATGGCCTGAAATGGAAAATGAATACGACATATAAACCAAATGCCTCAGCTTCTTATCATTGTTTTCAAGCATTTGCAAAACTTATCTTCATTGTCCTCTTCAGCAGTATGTATAAAGCCAATGTAACACTCCCTCATTCCCTGTACTCACACTGCTTCTGCACAGTGTCGGACATCACTCCTTCTGAAGCTGAGAATTGAAACTGAATCGGGACAATCATTCTTAGAGCCTGATGTGGGAGCAGTGTATTAAATATTCAGATAAATATACGTGGCCTGGCTTGTCCTCTGTAACTGTCAGATACCAGAGATTTGTAACCATCAAGGCTTCAGCCTGCTGTGCCCGGCTAGACCGAACAGGGCCCACCAGGACTAGTGAGAATGAATAACTAACTACAGCTGCCCGTACCTACAAAATGCAAGACAGTACAATGTCAAGGTCACTAAACTCTCGTCTGAAAGATGACAGGAGTGAGGTGCTTAGGAGGAACCAGATGGTCTCCCTGGGGCTTTTCCCAGCTCCGACTAGATAAGAGGAAGGAGTCCTATATTTGCCAAGCGTCCAGGCATCATATCAGGCACTCCACCCACATCATGTATTTAGTGCCCATAGCAACCCTGAGGGGAAGTTAATATCTTTATTACATAGATGAGGAAGTTGAGGTCAAGAAGAATAATTTCCCCAAGGTGACACTGGGGGAAAGTTGTACATATGGGACTAAAGCCCAGCTCCTTGTGACTCCAAGTCCCATCGTTAACTTGTAACAACTCAGTAGGCAGTCAGTAGGGATGGCAGTGAGGAGTGTTCTGGGGACAAAGAAGCAGCAAAACTGTCAGGCTGCCAGCATCGTGTCTGCCTTTGGACTGAACAAAGTGAGGGAACCCTGGGCATTTTCAAAACAATGATGGATCAGTGGAATAGGATTCAGCAGAACTCAGTGATGGTGGGCAAATGGCTTCATCTCCCTGAGCCTTAGTTCTCTTGCCTCTAAAGTGGAGCTCAGTGCCTTTCACCATTTCTACAGCCTTGGGTGACTTACATAAAGGCCTGGGGTAGCACTTTGTAAAGTCAAGGCACTATTCAAAGGTAAGGGATTTTAGTATTCTATCAACATTAGCTTATGTGGATTCTATTGCACCAATATTCCATTATATAGAATACTTAATATCAAAAATATAATATATAAGTTCATGTACATTACATTGATAATAGCCCCTTTCAGCCATTACCTGAAAATGTTCGTGCTTTTCTGTATTCTGTTTCTGGCCTAAAAGACAAATTGGCATGTCTGTGTCAGTCTTAACAATTGAGGAAAATATGTTTAGGAAAAAAATTATTTTCATAGAAACATATACATTACCTGCCTTCCAGCTTCTGTCTGATAACTAAAATCAAGAAAAAGAAACAGTAAATACTTTATAGTATATGTATAAAGCCATTTAATTTTTTTCTAATTTTAACCTACCTTTGGAGGGTTGATATTTTTTCCATAGGAGAAGAAAACACATGGATAGAATCAAAAAGAGTGATATTCCGGTTATGCTCGCTAGAGGGGGCAATGATTGCCCTTTTTGTGCAAGCTTCTCCAGTCCTAAGTGAAAGGACAAACACAGGTTGAATATTTTTATTGCCATATAATTCAACTTGTTCACACTTTATTTTAAATGAGACACCACTGGAAATATATTTATGAGAGAGAATATGAATGAGGTGAAATGAAAGGAATGAACTTATTTTAGAGCCCACAGTAGACTCTCTGAGATCATCCGCGATTGGACCGTGTTGGTGAGCTGCCCCGGGGCACACTGATATGTTGTTATAGATACAGCAGATAGTTCATGTCACACTCTTCTCCTTCTTCTTCCTGCCCCCCTCCTGCTCCTCCTCCTCTTCTTCCTTCTAATGTCATACCCTTCAGCAGTGTTTGCCCCCATTTAACATGGATCTGTTTAATCTTACTGTATCCAACAACCCCAGACGCTCGGTTATTCCCTCTTGCCTGCCATCTCACTCTTTGAGTATAATCCAGGTGTGCGAATGTTCTCTAGGGAGGTGCTGGATAATTAAAGGTGTGAAAAGGGAGGTATTTATTTTCAATACACTTTACTAATTTTTGAACAATAAGGAAATTTCATTCTTACAATAGAATGTGTGTATGATTGTTAAAATATTTAAAGTCCCGTGTTGTGACTAAAATTCCCTTTGTTTTGCAAGCTATTCCTGTATTTATCAGTATTCCTGTATAAAACGTAGTGTAATACCCCTGGCTGATGTAGCTCAGTGGATTGAGTGTGGGCCTGCGAACCAAACAACCACGGTTCGATTCCCAGTCAGGGCACATGCCTGGGTTGCAGGTCAGTTCCCAGCAGGGGACACATGAAAGGCAACCATACATTGATATTTCTCTCCCTCTCTCCTTCCCTCCTCCTCTAAAGGTAAAGAAATAAAATCTTAAAAAACACATAGTGTAATATCTGAGTACTTACTTACAATATATCAGGCTCTGTTCTAAGAGTACATGATACATATTCACTCACTAGATGTTCACAATAATCTTATTAGGGAGCTATTATTATTATCCCCTCTTACAGATGAGGAAACTGAGGCTTGCCCTGAGTAGTTCAGGTAGTAAGTGGCAGAGTCCAGGGGGACCCCATCTGTCAAACCTGTTGACATGTTGTGCTGCCTCACTTGGATGTCATTTTAACACAACTTAGTTCCAGACCATAATATGTTTGGTCATAGAGTTACTGTAATCTATAAAGTGGGAAGCAGTTTAGCCTCCAGCCCATGGGAGTAACAGGTCCCTCTCACTTTATCATGGGAATCAGGTATCCATGCGGAAATGAATCAGGAGGTTGCCCATCTCGCTCCATCCTAATGTGGGAGTGACAGTTGTGGCACCTCACTTCTGCTCTGCAGCGGTGCTGGGAACAGCCTGGAGATCGTGGTGTGGTGAAGGCATAGTGGCCATTTGGCTCAGCAATAAATATCCGGCCTGCACTCCATCATCTCTCACTGTGGAACCTCTGCTGGGGGCTCCAGCAGCTGAGATGTGGAAGAAACCTTAATCTTTCCCTTCTTTCCCCGTGGGTCTGTGTGCACTCCCGTGGCTTCCCACTTAAACACCGTCATTCTTCATCTTCCAGAATCTTTTTGGAATACAGTATAGATCATATATATATAACTCCATTAAAAGGTCATGGAAATCAATCTGTCTCTTCTAATGTTCCTGTATGATGCCATTCACATATTCCTTTAAAGTCTTTAAGAGTTAAGCAGGTTGTTCTTCATTATTAAAAGTCTTTACCATCTCAGATGAGAAGTTTGTAAATTTCTGATATGAATTCAAGGAATTGTGTCCCAGCTTTTTTCTATTAAAATGTTCTTTTTATGGGATTGTAATACCTGTGTAATATTTTTGCCTTTAAACAGATTTTATTTTTAAGTATACTTTATTAATTATGCTGTTATAGTTGTCACGATTTTTCCCTTTTGCACCCCCCCACCCCATACCTTCCTTCCCTTCAGCCCCCCCACCCCCTTAGTTCATGTCCATGGGTTGTGCATGCAAGTTTTTTGGCTTCTCCTTTCCCTATACTATTATTAACACCCCCCTGTCTATTTTTAAGCAGATTTTAAGTTAAACTCTCTTTAGCTCTGGGTGGAAGAAATAAATGCAGGGTGGTTTAATATGAACTCGAATGGCAATTTATCATTTCTACATGCAGTCTAGAGCCTCACAAAACTTATTAGGATTATTTTTCCTCGTTTTCTCCTTGTTAATCATTTGTAGAACAGCTTATATTCTCCCATTGTTAGAAAGCTGACCTTTTAGTCTGGAACTACGTTAGCACTTGGGTGATGGCCTTGAGAAGTCTCAGCCTTTCTCCGGGCCATGTGCTCGGGCTTCACAGTGTGTCCTGTCCAAAGCGCTAGACAACTGCGCGTGAGCCGCTCGACTCTGCGGGTCTGGATTTCCACAGTAGTAGAATGGAGGTTAGTGTGATTGAGTTTCAAGTTCTCTGTTGCTCTGCTATTGTATGATTGGGGGCAGCCAGAGAGTCTGGCATAAAGTTTAGTATGTAAATAGGATACTATATCCATTTGCATGCTAATTACTGAGTCTTGAAATAGTCGCGTGCATATATATATATATATATATATATATACAAAAGTTATCATTTAAAAAATACTTTATTTATTTATTTATTTTTAGAGAGAGGGGAAGGGACGAAGACAGAAACATCAATGTGTGGTTGCCTCTCACACAACCCCTACTGGGGACCTGGTCTGCAATCCAGGCATGTGCCCTGACTGGGACTTGAACCTGTCACTCTTTGGTTCACAGGTCCATGCTCAATCCACTGAGCCACACCAGCCAAGCTGATAAAAGTTATAATTTTACTGGTATAAAGGATGTGTAGCACAAAATTTAGAAATAATAATAAAATGTCGATACTCTTTATTTTTTATTCCCTATATAGCTAATTGATTCTCACTGGATGCTTTTGTTGAGCATTATGTATGTATAAAACCAAATGTATTGCAATTCATTTCCCCCACTTATTTAGTATAGGTGTGTCATATTAATAATAATAAAAATAATAAGAAAAAATAAAGCACCATTTCTAGGCACAGCTAAAGAAATAGTCTTAGAGAAACTAAAGTATTTGCTACAGTCAGTAAGTCCTAGAACTGAGACTGGAACATGGCGGGGTGGTGGTGTTTGTTTTTATTTTTCGACTGCAAGTTCAGTTTTTTCCTGCTAATCTGTGGTTAAAGAATGGTTCTAGAATTGGCAGGTAGTCTCCTACATAGTTTCCCTTTAACCTTTTCTAACACCAGACTTGGTGTGCTTTAACTGTCTTCTTGATGGCAAGACTGCTTTCACCAAAATGTAACTCCTGACTCCTCAAGAAAGTATCCAGTGTTAATTTGTTCTAGTCAAGTTTCTGCAATACACTTTACCTGGAGAAACACTGCAGAAAAACATTTTAGTTTAGTCTCAGCTCTTTTTGCCTCTTGTAAACATGAAAATATGCTAATAGTTATTAGGTCACAGTACTTCCCATTCTAATGGTACAGTTACACTCTGGCATATGTCAACTCTTTGCCAGGTGCCTCCAAGATTCTGAGGCCTGGTAGTAGGTTTAACATACAATGACATTTAATGAATGGTTATCTTTCAGTAGATAAGACACATCTCCATTTTAAACTTTTTTCCACCTTTGATATATCTGTGTTAAAATGACCAAATTTCCACATTCTGTCCTACAGAGAATCCATCTATTTCCTTTTCCGTTGTTTCCTTATTTCTTTAGACTCCTTTCCATTGTCCTCTTGCCTCTCTTCCCCTTGGCCTCTGTTTGCCCTACATCAGAGAACCACCCTGTGGGGACCAGCGCCTGTCAGTCCAAATCCTTGGCTGTGGCAAAGGCCTGGCATCCTTGCCCTGGAGACAAGAAATAGAGCTAGTCCTTTCCTCAGAACAAATGAGCTTTCCCACTGGGCTCCCTTCTCCTTGAGCGCATCCTGGCTCTCTGCTCCTAACACTGCTTCATTCTGTCTTCGAACATACAAGATTTACCAGGTCCAGCATTTGGAATTTGATCCCTTTCACAAAGTAAAAAGTGCCAAACATGTCAATCAATGATCAAGTCAAGGGGCATAGTTGCTGTGGTCTCAGTTGTTGGTAAGTGTGTTTAGGAGAGATATACTTCCAGAAGCACAACTTGAAAATAAGACAGCAGGGAAATTCAGACCCAGCTGCCACAGAGAATGTCCAGCGACCCTGGCTGTAGCTTGGGACACTTCTAGGAGCTTCAGTTTTTCTCCTTTTAAAGAGGTTTCTACTTTTCAGGACATAGCATGCCATTCTCCCCATTATTTAAACATGATCGACTCATTTACCAAAGCCTTAGTGCAAATGCCATTTGCTCCCTCCTTAGGCAAACAAATAAAATGAAATAACATATTAAGTGCAAATATGGGCAAGAGGTGTGGTGTCCATGGTCTCGCCACCCGGCTGTTGGAGACACTGAGCCTAAAACAGGACGGCCATATGCTACTAGTGAGCATGCCTATTTCTGGGTCAGAATGGAGTGCTAAGCTCGCTCCCATCCAGTGTATTCATTAATCATGGCAGCTGGTTCACGTCCCCGCAGAAACGGAGGTGCCATGTTGAGGGATGTGCTATTTTCACACTCCACCATGGCCCCCCCCGACAGCACAGTTGTTCTGTGCTAGATGCTGATGGCAGTGCCACCTAAGTTCTCAGGGTCTGGGTGTCAGGGATGTAGTTCTATCCCAGTCGTTTTCTCCTGTGGCCCAAAGTGCAACACAGCTCCTGGACTCCTTAACCTGAGAAACCCCTGGGCGGATGGAAGAAATGAGTACATTTATTTTCCGGCCTTGGGTCATTTTGCTATTCTCTCCTTTTACTTTGTTTATGCTATATGGAAATACATTGATATTAGGTAGGAAAAAAAGGTATGCAATATAAATCAATATTAAAAATGATAGATTTGTCAGGATCACTTACAAATTTAAAACATTTGTAGTATGTCTAAATATCAAACAGTAGCCACATGGACCTTGGGAACTCTAATAATTTGAATATCTTCATTAAATGTGAACATTTAATGCTAATCATTTTTGTTATATGTGTATATGTACACACACATACACAGTTTGGCACAACAGTGATTCAGACCCATTAAAATTGGTAAGTGGGAACACCTGCATTCAAGGAAGTCCTTAACTTGGGTAACAAAATTATGTTTTTTTTAAAAATAAGAATTCTAACTTATTATTTTTATTTCTATTCTTAAGACTTATACTCTAGATATTATTTCTAGTTACAGATATTTTATAATTTTTCATTGACATGAATGTATATACACGCCATGGACAAACCAGAGTACCTCTTTGTAGATAGCATAAAATTGGTTAAGGTGAGGAGAAAATACATTTATCTTGTATATGTGATATATCTTTTAGGAAGACCACAGTCTTATTAATATTCTTAATCCAAAGTAGTTTATATAGTGGTTAAAAACAAGGGCTTTGAATTTGGATATTATTTTATTACTTATTAACTATGTGACCTCAACCATTGCCCTGTGTTCTTTAGCATATCTCCACTGAGCTACAGAAAGATCAAGCAATATCTCAGATTAGATGTGAATCATAGCCCACAGTGGTGGAAGGCACCGTCTTGTACAGGCAGGAAAATATAGAGATAATTGTGACATTCTCCAGCCTTCCTCTCCCCAACTGAAAGTCCCCAATAGAACGTTTGATTATTTTCTGACCTTGTTATTCTCTTCTATATTGGTGACCTGAGAGTCATCTTTGCCTCCTTTTTCCTTTGCCCTCAACATCTTATTACTGAGACTTTTTGGTTGCCCATATTCTCTGCCTCATTAAAAATAAAGAGATTCATCTATTTCTTATAAATTGATTCTGGTGACACCAAATACAGGTTGGTTCCAAAAATATCTCAAAGGCAGGTATGTTACCCCTCAAAATTATTTCAAATTCTCCACAGATTTTAATACAGATGGCTCATCAGAGTGGCCAGTAAGGGTTCAATTGGCAGTTACAAGCAATGTTCTTTTTTTTTTTTTTTTTACTGTAGGTTGGTATACACTTACTGGTAACTGCATTGCAAAGGTTCATTCACTTGGAAAACTTAAAAAAAGAAAATACTTAAAAAAGCACATCAGTATTACTCATTTTCTTTGCCATGTGTTGCTGTTTTAAAGTTCTATGGACGTCTGAGGGTTGAATATAGCTCTAAAAACCACAGAGGTCACTAATGTTGACAACCCTGAATCCCTCTGAAAAGTAAGCACCTGCTCTTCTTATTTACTGTAATAACAAGTGCCTGGTCTTTGTACAGGTCAAACAGGTTTTTTAGAATTTGCAAAAGGCAGTCATTTGATATTAAGACTGTAGCTGTCTCTGAACCTTAGTAATAAGACCTTAACCAAATATTGGGGGCTTCTGATCTTATGAAAATACCTTGGCTGAATATTAACGGTGAAAGGTTAGGCAGTGGGAAAGGCAGTGTACACTTACATATTCTAACCATGTTTTCACTTGCAATAAGCATGAAGAGAAAGTCTAAGATGACATCCAGATTACCGATGAACTATTTTATACACTTAATTATGGTTTGCTTCAAAATCAAGTTTTGGTTACCCACTGAGGTAAAAAAGCTGGTTAAGCCTATTAAAATCCAAGAAAATAGAAAGCAAAAGGTACACTTTAGCTGCTAACATGAGTACAACCCAAATTGGCTCAACGAGCATCTTGTAAGCAGGAATTATTTCTTCAAATGGCATTCTCTAGGCCTATCCAAGTGTTCAGCCCATGATAGGTGCTAAATAATGAATGAACAAGTGCCTGATTTATATCATCCTGTGTACATACAAGCAGTGAGAACATTAAGGGAACTATATTACCTGCTATCCAAAAGAAACATAATTCAGGTAAAAATTCTGGAGCTACATTGTCCAATATGGTAGCCACCAGATACACATTACTATTTACATTTAAATTAAAATTAATAAAGATGCAATAAAATAAAACTTCAGTTCCTTGCTTGTATAACCATATTTTAAGTATTTAAAAGCAAAAGGGGGCCAGTGTCTACCTTATTAGTTAGTATAGATATTAAACACTTACTTTATTGCAGAAAGTTCTACTGGATAGTATTCTGCTGCAGAGTATGGTATTTTCTTCATATAAAAAAAAACTCCAAATCTCACCATGCCAGTATATAAGTTCCAGTATACTCAGACAGTTTTGCAATTATGAATACCTCAACTTTAAAGAATCCAGGGCATACCCCATTCACTATGTATTTCTTTATCAATGTGTAGGTTGTCATAGTCTTATAATACTTAATAGCTCTTTAAGAGATTTTTAATAAATTCAAAAGGCAATAGAAAGAGAAAAATACAGCCAACAAGTGGTTGTCACACACATACAGTATAAATATTCAGATTCTCAGATCCTAGCCACAAGATCCTGATTCAATAACTCTGTGGTATCTTAATGAAAATAGAGTATCTGACCACCCTGGGTGATTGTGATGCACATACCCTGGGTGAGTTTGAAAAATGTAGCCTATAAATTACAAAGATTATATTCTTGCTTCATTTATTCAACAGAATGTATTGGCTCTCTCTGTGTTATAGGCATTATTCTAGGCACCACAGCTACAAAGACAGAAAGAGAAAGTATTAATGATTGTTCCTCTTGCAAAGTTGGTCTTCCAATCATAGCTTCCCTGAACACAGCTGCCTGCCCCAACCTGCTCCCAGGTGTCCCCACGTGGAATGTGGCTTCTTTGTCTGCAAAGGTAAGTCTGGGAAGGACTTAATGGTAGGAGTAGAAGTAGTGGTAGTAAAGGAAGAAATGAAAGGAGAAGAAGGTGGAAGTGGTAGAGCTGGAAGAGGAGGAGGCGGAACAGGAGTGGGAAAGAGAGAAGGAGGGAAAAGAAAAGAAAGAAACAAGAAAGAAGGAGAGAAGAGACTGGGTTTGAGAGACAGGAAGGAAAAAGAATGTGTAAACTTGGTGACTGTATGTTGGGCAGGGCAATAGGCAAGGGAAGAGTCTGAGCTGGCTTTTATATTTCTGGCTCAGGTTGGTAGATAGCAAGACCATTCTTTTAATCATGGAATACAGAAAGAATAGTAATTTGAGGGGAAGGAAATGGTTAGTTTTGTGGACTTGTGCCCTGCCTCTGGTACTTCAAGGTGAAGACATCTAGAAGGCAACTGGGTTTTAAAGCTTTACGGGTGGAGACTTGGGATGCACCGATGTTGAATGAAACCATAGAAGTGAATGAAATCATACAAGGGAATAAAATCATATGACAGAAAGAGAAGAGTAGGCTCAAAAGGATAGGAATTTGGTAGACATAACTATTTTAGACAGTGATCCTTAACCTTTTGTGGTTTCATAAACTTTGTGAAAAATCAGATGATTTCTAGAGAAAGTCAGATATCACAGACTTAACAAATTTCCAGGATCTGCTTTGAGACCTTCTGCAGATTTCAGGTGTTTACATTATGAAAGAGGAAGGGAAGCCCATGAAAGGTAGTGAGAAGGGGAGTCAACTAGTAGGAAAACCAGATTATTAACTCATGGAAATTTATTCATCTGACCTAATGCAACACTAGATAGAAGCCCGCCTCTGTTGAATTCCTGTTTGTTTGTAAAATCCAGAAAGCAAGAATGCATATTTAAGAGTACACAGTGACAGACCTAGGTAGGCCTAGCAGAAATGGGGAATCACCAGGCGGGAAGCTGTACCATGGGAAACTTCAGCCTCGGAAACTGCCTGCCCAACACTACCCAGGACAAACAGATGCTCAGCTGAGAATGAGGTCTGGGGCCTGCCTACCGACATAACAGGATGCAGCTTTAACTTGAGCCTGGCAAGGTGTATCAAGAAGAATGGTCAGCAGAAAGGCACCCAGCAACCAGCTCTAGCCTATCAGACTCTAACACCCCAACCAATTACCCTTTGCGGGTTTATGTGCTTAAAAACCTTGCCCTAAGAGCAACCCAGTGAGTCTTAACCTCCTTTGGTTGGCTCCCCAGCCTCCATGGGTTGGCTCCACTTTTTGTCCTGTTCCCTGCTAATAAACCCTTCTCCTTAGCTTGCTGCATCTGTCTTATTTCTTGAGCAACTCTGACCTAATGCATAATTTATTGAATTCTCTTTTCTCAGTCCCTTGGTTAGCAATTAGAGTCCTTTTCCATTCTGTTTTGGGTTTTCTTTCTTTTATAGGGGCCACGTCTTAGTTAACTCAGGAAAGAGAATTTCTTATAGTATATTGACAATCCCACAATGATATTCTCTTCCACGTAGTTATCAGATCGGGGTGGAGTGCAGCCAGCATGCATTTGAGTCTCACGGGGATCCCTGCCTTTGACGTCACACTCACCTACAGAAGTGATGATGACTGTGAAACCAGTTTCATCCTGCCTGCCAGTCACGTTGTTGTAAGCATAGCACACATAGTCCGTCGTCTTCTGGGCCACCTTCTCAGACGCGACTTCCAGGCGAGGCCCCTGCTTGATGACGTAGGTCACATTGTCAGTCCTCTGGATCCAGGAATAGGTGTTGGGAGGGTAGGAATCGGCAGAGCAATCAAACAAGATGGCTTCTCCAATGTCAACAGTAAATACTGCTCCTACTTTTAGGCCTTTGTCAGAATTAACTCGAAGTCCATAAGGTCCATCTGCATTAGTTGAAAAAAATAAAGGGGTAACATAAATAATCATGACATAGTTTAAAAGTTTGGAAGAGCTTAGCAGCGTTTTATTTTCTATGAAATTCTTCATGTTAAACGTGGACAAATAGATCTTCATTTAGACTCTAAATAAATGATAAGGACCTAAAAATGTTTTATTCTGATATCCATGGAAATAATAGTTATTCGAGATGTGACTGAACTTATTTGAAATAATGAAGGCCTTGGTACTTAGCATATACAATTTATAGACACTGTTGTCATAACCATGGTGCTAAGCTTTTGAGAAATATATTCATAAATATGCAATGTTGTTAGACAAATCCAATCTTTCTGAAACAGTAATTGCATTTAAAAGTATTTTAAAAATAGATTATGGCCACTATTTTCTCCTTGACAGTCACTCTTTCAGTATTGTGGTTTTCTCTCAGTGCTAGGCAGAATATATCATGAAAATATAAAATACAGAGTTTCTTATGGAACACATGAAACAAGGAGTATTTTACAGGTGCATGTTTCATGACATTTTAACAGTTAACAAATGTTTAAAATTCCTCTCCACAAGCTAAGCCTAGAATTCCATTTGGAAAAAAATACATCTTTATTATCATTAACAAATATTCATTGATCATCAATAAATCACTTAATCATTTCCTCACACTACAATATTTCTGTAGCATGTTGCTATTTCTGTAGCATCAGATTGCCTGCAGATGAAGATACATTTTCCACTGCTTTCTTCAGAGCGTAAAGAGAGGGATTAAAAGAATATTCCCCAGTTAGATAGGTTTTTCTCATTTAATCTAAATCCTGGCTAGTATTGTAAACACTTTGAGTTTTAGACGTGATAATGCTCATTTTTCAGCTGACCACACCAATAGGTATTGGATATTTGCCATCTGAAGTCACCTTACTTATATAAACAACTACATTTAATCTTCAAAGCAGGCATATGATGTAGATCTTATTTTTTCCATTATAAGATGAAAAAAGAGATATTTAAAGGATTAATTTTGCCTTGGTAACATAGTTATTTTATAGCATAGCTGGGACTTTAAAATACATGCATTTAATCATTCATATTACCTCCCTAAAATGCTAAGTGATATAACTTTCTATATCACAATAGTGTTTCATCTAATACTATTAGTTCTACAATAAATTATTGTCTAATTAGATATCAGTTGTGTGCTCAGTTAATCAATTAATCAGAAGTCATTTAAACTTTTAGGGTCTCATTTTTCTCACCTTTACTATAAAAAGTTTGGCTAGATGACTGGCTGTTAAAGTTCTTTTCACCTTTGAGACACCATGATTCACACAATGCTAAAGCTATTTTGGATACTGGAGAGCCAGCCTTAAAGGTACAGATTCCCAGAGTAGTTTTCTATTATATCAGCATTTTTTGACCAATCTACCATTGGGGAAACAAACTTCCTGAGACATAACAGAAACAGAATGCAAAAAATGAATTACATTTAGCTAGGGAACATACACTTTACACATACTTGCTTTCTTTTTTTTTTTTTTGCTTTGATTTATTTTTCTTTCTTTTAAATTTTATTTATTTTATTGATTATGCCATTACAGTTCTATTTCCCCCCTTCATTCCCCTCCACCCTGCACACCCCTCCCCCATTCCCCCCTTTAGTTTATGACCACGTGTCTCAAGTTCGTTAGATTCTATATTTCCCCTACTATTCTTGCCCTGCCCCCTATCTATTTTCTACCTACTGTCTGTGCTACTTATTTTCTGTACCTTCTTCCCCCTTCTCCTTCTCCCACTCCCCTGTTGCTAACCCTCCATGTGATCTTCATTTCTATGGTTCTGCTCCTGATCTAGCTGTCCTCTTAGATTGCTTTTGTTTTAGGTGTGGTTGTTAATAACTGTGAGTTTGCTGTCCTTTCACTGTTCATCTTTTTTATCTTCTTTTTCTTAGGTAAGTCCCTTTAACATTTCATATAATAAGGGCTTGGTGATGATGAACTCCTTGAACTTGATCTTATCTGAGAAGCACTTTATCTGTCCTTCCATTCTAAATGACAGCTTTGCTGGATAGAGCAATCTTGGTTGTAGGTCTTTGGTTTTCATGACTTGGAATACCTCTTTCCAGCCCCTTCTTGCCTGTAAGGTCTCTTTTGAAAAATCAGCTGACAGTCTGATGGAAACTCCTTTGTAGGTGACTGTCCCCTTATCTCTTGCTGCTTCTAGGATTCTCTCCTTCATTTTAATCTTGGCTAATATAATGATGATGTGCCTTGGTGTGTTCCTTCTTGGGTCCAACTTCTTTGGGACTCTCTGAGCTTCCTGGATTTCCTGGAAGTCTATTTCCTTTGCCAGAATGGGGAAGTTCTCCTATATTATTTGTTCAAATAAGGTTTCCACTTGTGGCTGTTCCTCTTCCCCTTCTGGTACCCCTATAATTCACATGTTGGAGCATTTAAAGATGTCCTGAAGGTTCCTAAGCCTCTCCTCATTTTTTTGAATTCTTGTTTCTTCATCCTTTTCTATTTGGTCATTTTTTTCTTCCTTCTGGTCCAATTGATTTGAGCCCCAGTTTCCTTTCCATCACTATTGCTTTTCTGTGCATTTCCCTTCATTTCAATTAGTTTAGCCTTCATATGTTCCTCTAATTTGTGACTAAAATCAACCAGTTCTGTGAGCATCCTGATCACCAGTGTTTTGAACTGTGCTTCTGATAGGTTGGCAATTTCTTATTCACTTAGATTTATCGGCTCTAGGGCTCTGAAGTTCTTCTTGAGCCATGTTTTGATCTGTTCACACCTGTTACATATGAAGAGAGGAGCCTTAGGTGTTCACCAGGGCAGGGCCACCCAGGTTTCCTGGTTTGTGACACTGTATGTGGGGGCGGGGTCAGAGAGGGAGCAGTAGCAGTCCCCTCTGCTCCTTCCTGCTGCTGGGGCCAGTGCGGTCTGTCTCACTGCTCACTCCTTTGCTGGTTTATCTGTGCACAAGTGTGTGACCGCGGTCAGCCAGCCGCCTTGCACCTTCACTGGGTCTGCCTGTCGCTACCCCACACCTGGGATTCACCCTTGGCTACCTGGATTGGGGGATCTTTTTGCCCGACCTGCTTCACTGCTGGCTCCGCCCCTCTTACCAGTCTAGCTGAGTGGTTCATTGTTGTTGGACTCCCATATTGTTCAATTTTCTGTGGTTTGGCTGAGTTTATTGTTGCTAAAACTTTGTTGTTTTTAGATTTGGTTGTGCAAGAAGGCAACGTGTTTCCACCTATGCCTCCATCTTGGCGGAAGTCTGACATACTTGCTTTCTAAAGACACACAGACATCGGAAAGAAAGCTGTAAATTAATGTGTATATATGAGATGAGCCTGCCTTCAGAAAGCAAAGGTAGAGGTTTGGAGAAACCAAGAACTGGAACTGGAGCACTGAAGTGACGAGAAATCCATGTCCCTTTCCTGTGACTACACTGGAGCCCTGTCATACTGTTCTCTCATTTCAGGCTGTGAGACGGTCTCAGGGCACACCACTGTTACAGAACTGTGTACAGTTCTAAGGGAACCAGTGCAGCGGCATGGTCCCTTCAAGCTGTCATCACGGATAGAACATTAGGGAAATAGAGGCCACCAGCTGGTGGGCACTGGTTCTGGTTCACACAGTATAGTGGGAGGGGTCAACAGGTGTTTGGAACAACAAGGCACCCAAGCCTGTGCGTGAAGTCTGAGCACAGAGTGAGGTCGATAAAGAAGAGAAATGCGGTCATAAAAATACAGCCATTCAGTTTAAGCCTCCACCTTCCCTCTGGTTTCAGCATTTATAGACAGTGACTATAAAAATAAATTGCCTGATAATTTAACAAACATAAAAATGAGTAATACCCTGTGCTGACATTACTCAAAGCTTTTTTTTTCTCATTTGGAATTGACTTAGGACCTTGCAACATAATAGAATATTCTCAAAAATAGTAATTCTCCCATTTTGCAAGATGGGTTTGATTTGTAGAGAAAGCCCACGGCCATTTAGAGAGAAGGCTGGTGAATAGCATTGATCATGTAATTTAATAACATCACTCCAGTTTAAAACAAAACATGCTTATAAACAGAAGAATCTGATGATTTTACCTCATTTCCCCTACACTCATGTTTATTTTGATTTTGCCATTTCCCCATTTGTCCTGTGTTGTGACTGGCATCATCTTTTGCCCTCTGTCTGTCTGAACTACATGCTAGATCTGGCTCTTCAGGGTCAACCTCAAATACCCCAAACTCCCCCAGGTCCCCACAAACACTGCTCGCAGTTCTTAGAACCTAACACCTGAAGCATTTCAGTTGCTTGCCTCTGATATGATTTCTTAAAATGTAACCTATTTTATTTAATTATATAAGACAAATATGTTCATTGCAGAAAATCCTAAAATTCAGAGAAACACAAAGATGAAAACTCATTTGTAATTTCACCATTCAGACAATGAGTATCCATATTTCACTGTATGATCTTCAATTGATCTTTCTTCCATTCTCCCTCTCTACCTTCTGTCCCTCCCTTCCTCCTTCCCTTTTTCTTCTTTTCTCCCATATAGATCTATCATTGTTCTATCTTTTGCACTCTACACATTGCTTATAAACTGTTTTCTTAATACACTATGACTTTATTTGCATTTTATGAGCACTTCCGGATGACCATCCCTTTACCTGAGGTGCGGCCTAGTTCATTATTCATGGGAACAAGCAGTCCAATTGTATACATTTGGAGTGATTGGACCAGTGTGGCCTCTGACATTGAAGGTGAAAGCAGAGGGATAATTCTGACTTTGAACTGTGGCTCAGTTTCTTGCCTTTGGCAGTGAACTCCCAATAGAAATGAACCCTTTGCCTCAGGAATGGCTGTTTAGTAAATGAATTGTAAAATCATACATCATCTGCCTCTTTAACAATTTATGGCTGGGCGGGAACAGTACCTAAATTTTCATCATGATGCTGCTTGCCACCCTGCTTGGGAGCAGATGGTAA